CCAGGGAAAAAAGACGCACTTTCGTCCTTCGCATTCACACACACACGCACACTCACAGTTTCTTAAAATTAAGCAGATCTTTTATAACTTTATAACAAATCTTTTCTTCTACTCAAACGCTTTCCAACAATGTATCATACGACCCAATAGGCGTGGGCCCAGTCCCCGAACCAGAGGACTGTCCTGGGCGAGGGAACCGTTACGAAAGGAAGTGTTGGCGAGGCATTAGGATCTCAATCGTTATACCGTTGTTACCGAAAGTATCGTTGCAGGATTTCTGCGAGACACTCGCAGAAACATATTTATAACTACTTTCCAAAGAATTACCTTTGTCTCTTACTTAGAAACTGAAATATTCTGATCCTCAAGAATAGCAGATATTTCGTTTGTATTGTACGTACATAATCTTGAGATAGTCTGATATTCTAAACAGTGGGTGATTCGATTTCGTAAGACGACTATTTGGGTTGAAGAAAATCTATCTGTAGTATCGTAATTATGGTTGCTTGCGCGTGATGGAAAATGTGCGATGCGTTTTTCTGTAGTTGGAATAACGTGAAAGCGTGGATGGTTTGATGAAGGTTGGTTAAGTTAGAGATACGGTATATAAGTAGTTAGAGTTGTTTGTAGTGAATAGCTTGAAAGAGTCGAGAGTTTGAATGGGAAGCGAAATTGAATAAATGTATGTGTGCAATTAGAAGGGCTGAGAAAATAGTAAAAGAGAAGGATATAATTTTCTTAGTATTTTTAAAATTATTTATCTCCCAAGCACTGGTTTCAAAAAGTTCCATCGACATAAAAATACGCTATTTGCAGCATAAGTGATTTAGAAAGGAAGTAGTCATTACAACCATAGAAGCTAAGACCGAGCGGCGGTAACATGCACAAGGAAAAGTTGTTCAGAATGGTGATCTTGACAACTTATTACAGGATCATCAAAATCGGTGAGGAATACTTCAAGTAATTACCAAATGCGCATATTTTTGGTAGTATATGACGCTAACTTTGGCAAGGACATGTAGTTTTAATCATGCAATACTTTCTAGATTGTTGTAATACTCATGCACGACAATATACACTACCAGCCAGAAGTTTGGAATCACCGAGCATTGCAATTTGCACAAAAATGTCCAGAAAAAAGTCAGCGACTTTGAGAATTTTTTATCACTCGAATCAATCGATATTAGATAATTGATAAACTTGAAATCTATAAAAAATTAGCAGCAGATTTGGTATCGATGAAAAGTGGGAGGTGATTCCAAACTTTTGGCCGGTAGTGTACATTAAACTACACTGGAAACATTATTCATCGTCCGAATGATTTCACAAAAATCTAATTAACATAAAAAAAGACTACTTACCAAATAAAACCACCAAAGCTCTCTTTGAACAGACATTTAAAATACTCACTACTTAACATTAAAGTACACTCGTCGTTGAAAACATTTTTCAAAAATGAAGAAACGCCACGTGTAAAATAAAAACAACAAAATTTTCTAATAGAATACTTCTTCGAGGTAATTTTCGTTAGAAACTGGAATAGAGGGCGATCCACTTGGAATTAGAAACCGAAACCATAAAGATCGGCCCATTTAACATGAATAACGATCCGATTTCTGAAAATCCTTCGAAACGTCATTATCCACGTTCGTCGATCCATCGACGAACAGGCGTGTATTCTCGCCGATGTGAAAGCATTGGCCCGGTAAAGGGTATTTAGTGGGCCGATAGCGGTTGCGTTACCTAATTTCCGCCAAAGCGAATTTCACTGGCTCTGCTAACGACAGCGTACCGCGATCACGCTAACCTATGCCCCGAATTTTCCTGGATCAAAGGCGCTTCGACCCGTGACACGACTTGCCACTGTGTTTCAGATTTCATGCTTGCCATAGCTGCTTTGCAGTGAAATGTTTTCCCTGTCGTGCTCTCGAATTGTTGCACCATTTGTCAATTGTTATTTCACGGATATAAAGGGTGTCTTTCAACTGGTGGTATAATCTGAAATAAATTCTGAAAGAATACAGGGTGATTCACTTAACCTGACGTTACTCGTAAACTATTCGCTGTAAGAAATAGTGTATGAAGTAAAAGTTGCACGATTTCAGGGGGGGACATATGTTACTATAATCATTTTCCTTTTAAATTGTTTATGCATGAAGTTTCGAAGGTCATGATGATTTTTTAAAGTGGAACATCCTACATTTCTTTCCGGAAATTGAAATAGCTGAAATTAAGGTGTAATATGTCTAAAATGAGTATTTATTGAGATATTTAAGTGCCATTTTATTGAAGTGAAATTTACAAAAAATACGCAGAAGCATATTTCTCTACCAGTAAGCTTTGTATGATAAAATGTTACTCTACACTTTCCACTTATCTTTTTACGTAGATTTACCCCTTTCCGGGTTTCACCGCCAGTTCTGAGACATCCTGTATTATGTGTAAACTTGTCACTAATCTAGAGAGAGTTTGAGTCGAATTTTTGAAATTTTTTTTTTCATGGAAGGAATGGTTTTTAAAGTGGAAAAAGTGAAACGAGAAGTTTGGTTTAAACCCTTCGTAAGGGCAGTAATATTACTAATGTATTGATTAAGTTCATACTTCCATTTTGAATAGTATATCACGATTAATAGGAAGCTTGCAGATTTTAATCGATGTATTTGAAATTCGAGTTGCGTTTTGACAATCTACGTGAAGAGAAGTTCCGTGTTACAGTTGACGTAATATAGTGTCAATTAATTGTTCGCATTTTTCAGAAGAGATATAAGAAGCACATTACGATACTGCTATTTTTTAACTCTTATATGCAAATTTCTTATTAGATCTGAAAAATAGCACTAAAGTGGAAGTGATAAATTGCATCAGTACTTGGCGAGTCATTTTGGAGTGAAAAGTGTCACGTACACTTGTCAAAAGTTTATAAGAAAAATGAGATATTGCAGGCACATCTGGTCTCCTCATTTTTCGTACATTATTCATCTTACCTTCTTATCTCCAGTTACATTCCACAAGAATTGTACTCACAATTTAATCTCAATAACGTCTAACAAAGAACAATTAAGAAAAACTCAGTCCTTCTTAACTGTTAAATGAGCAACTAGTTTAGAATCACTTTTAGGATCAGATAAGCAACTTCTCTTAAAACGGCAATGGCTGTGACAAATTACAACTGCAACAACGGAAATATATTTTCATAAATGATGTGTGATACAAACAAAATACGCGTATAGTATATACCCTCGTAAGTGAAGAGAGAAACTAACGGCGAGCATGATTCAGCCCGTACGAATGATCGGAGCACGAATGATCGGAACACGAATGATTTTTCAGCACTTTCTTGAACCGTAGTTCTCGGTTCACGAGGGTTTCTCTTTTTGGAAAACTATGAGGGCAACAATTTGAAAAAAGGGTCGTGTCAGAAACACCCCGAATCGAAAAAATGGTGGGCGCAAAATTACTCAAACTCGCAAATGTGTGCATTTCTTATAAGAACGTGGTCGCGTGGTCTAAGCGTCGTTCACCAAAGGATTTGTACGTCCGGTGGTCTTGTAAAGAGCGAGGATGCGCCGACCTGGCCGATTCTTGCGCGCTTCCCGCGCGAAGCAAGCCTGGGAAAATTCCCAGGGGGCGTGTCACACGTGTAAGCTGGGCCTGGTCCCAATTGGCTCGCTTCGCAGTCTTCGGAACGGATTTTCTTACAGCTGTTTTTCATTTAAAAAACCATACATTTTCTTTTGTTATTTAAAAATGATTCACAAATTCAAGAGTCCCTGTGAGCTGATAACGAATTTTATTTGGAATCTGTGTGTGAAAAATGAAGTTAATCTGATGAACAGTGAAGCAGTTTATTATGCCCATCGTAAGGCCGCTGCCCTTTTTCCCGTTTTTATATGCTTCTTCGGCCGTTAGGGCCCTGCAAGCCGTGGGGTGGGGGTGCACTGCTCCTTGTCTAGGGCCCCCGGCTCGGGCCCCGCGGGCTTTGCCTAGGCGCGTCGCACGGCGCCTTACACTATTTCGAGAAAAACGCGTTTAAAGTTTTGTATCGATGCCCGTGGAGTGGCACGACTCGTTTCATTCGAACGACTGTAACTTCGTCGGTAATTCGAAATTCGAGTTCGCTTATATCGAAAAGTCATTTCTTTAGAGATTTACACTGGTTTTTGTAATGCTATTTTCTGTGCCTTCGCGATTTTTCAAGTAAAGCTCATCGAAGTACAGTTTCAATTTTTAACGAAAAGCTGTGATCATTATTTCTCACCCACCATACTCACTTAACTTGACTTTGCGTCACCTATTTTGTGATTTTGAAATTGAAGAGTTGATTAAAACGACGCACTTTTCAAACAGTTCCGAGGCTGATCTGAAAGGAATTTCTGAAACAACCAACGAATAATGTTTTCAGAAATGTAAAATACCTTGACAACGTGTAGCTGCTACAATGGACTATTTTAATTTCGGACAATCTTTTATCAACAAAGTTTTACGACGCAAGAAATGTTTCGGTCAAATCTCGCGCGCTTCAATCTATCAATCTGATCTCAGTAGAATTTCTCGTCTAAAATAAGCAGGGACCAAAAATAAACGTCTATCGCGTGTTAACGCGTCACGTGTCACGGAAAGGGGATGAAGGCGAGCAGAGAATAATCAGGGCGAGGAATTAGTTCGAATGAAAGGCCGGCGAAAATATGTTCGAAGGAAGGGAAATCGTTAATGAAGGCACACCTGCGTGAACGGGAAGCGACGTTGGCTAGGCTCCAAAAAACTGGCTGCTGTGTTGTCGGGAATCACCTGACGGGCCTGTCTTGTCACGTTGATTTTCGCTTTTGAACTTCAGATTTCATGACAGATTGCGACCGACCGCATGACAGACAAGGCATAGTGGAATCTCTGTTATCCGAATCTTCCACTGTCCAAACATTCTGTTATCTAAACGTTTGTTTTTTTCTACCTTCTCTACAACAACGCCACGTTTTGTCTCTCTTTGAAGTGGAAACTGCAACATGACGACGCACGCTGGTATACAGGGTAGCTCAGCTAAATGGGATTATCTAAATATCTGCCCTATTTGTTGTATGAAGAAACTTCTCAGGGCAAATTTACACTATTGCAGGGGGCACATGTAATCACGGAAACGGTTTTTTTCTCAAGGTCATTTTATCACGAGATTTTAAAGTCATCGCCATTTTTTTATATTCTTTTCAGTATCCTTGTAAAGAGTGAGAAACAAATTCCCTTCGTTCAATTTTGAGATATTTGTGTCCAAAAATAATTAAAATTTCCGAAAAAATTTACTCAAGAACATCGAGTCACACGTTTGTCAGAAATACATACTGTGATCCG